AAAAATGCTTTTAGTCATAAGCATGATTAAAATAAATTATTTTATAGTCAAAAAAACTCAACTCGTTGGTTAATTATTTATTAGCTTCTTGGAGGCAGAGGCGTGTGTGTGTATGGTGCGGTGTTTTCTACTTATCGTTTGGTCTCTTGCCTAAAAGACGCTCGATCGCCCCGATTCGTGTCTCACAGCGCCTTATATAAGCTCGTTTCCCCTATTGGTGTCCTTTACTAGCATAGGCTTGTAGTTACTAGGGTAAGTCAGTATGATATGCCCAGCATATCGTACGTAACATACCATTATATTTTTATTTTTGACAGTCCCAGAAATTAAAACGTATTTTAATCAAGTTCATCATATTAATAATAACATTAAAACCGATATTGTTAAATAAATAAGATTGATGTAAATTAGGGCTTAAAATTTTAAGGTGAATGATATTGCTAATGTAGCTGCGTAAAATCTGCCTTTATCAAAATGTTTTTTTTTTTTAATTTACCATATAATTGTAGCACTGTTTAAGTACAATAAAGCTAATACTTATAGTTACCGAAGACCTTAGTCTATTCAACTTTTATTATTGTTCAAACGTTTATTTTACCAGGACGTTATTAACACAAGACAAATAGAACAAACATTAATATAATATTTTTGATAAATGTAAAATGCAGCTGCTTTCACTATTGAACATGTTAGAATAAGCGTTTAACGATTACTTTTAGTTTTCAACCGAGTAACTCCGTCAGTAGTGTAAATTATGTTATGCTCCATTACTTTAAATTAAGGTTCCTATTAACATAATGTACTTTCATTTCATCCATAAAAGGTTAAATTAGTTTTTGATAATTTCCATGTAACTGAAATACTTGTAAAGCATTTTAAAGTTTGACTTGGTCATTAAAATACGTCTAACAAATGCGTAGCTTATTGAACTGGGGGTAATTAAAACGTGTTGCTAAGCGCATAGCAGCGATAGCTGCACGTAAAGCACAAGAATAGTGGCTCCCAAGGTGGTAACAACTTGCTATTATTCTTATTGTAATTCATTACTTATTTGTATTTTGATATTTGTGCTTCTTCACGGTTACACATTTCGAGTTAGTGCATTTTCACGTATATTAACCTTCTTGCCTTTTCATAGTTTGTCCAGCATATTGCTTGGAAATTCGATCATTTTGCGATTGTAACGTTTAATCATGGAAATTCTGAGTATTTCTAGTATGCAAGTAAAAGGAAACTTGCAGGGAGTAAAACAAAGTTCTAAAACATGGCTGGACTTGTTCTTGATACTTCACTGGACGGCACTGTTCCTTAATATCTTCCTATTCTTAGGTAAGTACTTTTACAGTAATCTTAATAAACTTTCGAGTTACCTGCGTTATTGTAGCTGATGCAAATCTTAAATATTTTCATGCTTATAAATTTAACTGTTATTGTGTAAGAATGAATTTAAACAGTTAATGATGTGCCTAAGTTTCTTTTGTGTCAGTATGTAATAAAGAAGCGTTATTTATTTATTTTTTTAATAATTGTAACTAAGCGACATTTAAAAAAAGACTTTGCTCTAACGTTTTTATTAAGAAAAAAATAGAATGTATCTAATATTCCGTTCTCCTAACTAATGTAACTACATTCATTTTATGATATTACATTATGCAGTCCCTTCAATAACTTTACTAGTGTTAGCTTGCACCACAAGGTAAAATTATTGGATCATAATTCAAAACGTCCTGTTAACAAATATAAAGAATATGCTCATTTTATACAGTTAACAGAATTCAGACCTAACACGTAGTTCAGCAGAAATGCATCTTATATTTCAAAATCCATCCACGAAGTGCATTGATTATTCTGAAGTCAATATGTCCTAGTATTTCATTGTAATGATTCAATGTTACGAGAAACTAAAATAGTTTAAATAGTTGATAGAAGGCTACTTAAAACACTACATACGAAATAAAACTCACAGGATGGTTACTTTGTACATGATAAGTATAACTGATGAGCATTCCATAAGTATAGTAATATTCAAAAAAGCGTCAAAAAAGTGAAACTCATGTGCCAAAATGTGTGCAGTTGACAGATGAGAGGAAAAACTTAAAAAACTTTGCGGGTCAGAACAATTTCGAGATAACTCAACAAGTATATGTATACATACACGTTGATAGCGTCGTCTGCAAGCTTTCGCGACCAAGTTGCACTAAATGCTTACCGTGGTCACTTATATCATTTTGCCTATCCCCTAAACCACCTACATCTATAGTGAATAGATGACGTAATAAAACAAATTCATAACTATGTATAAAAATCTCTACTAATGTGATACACACATATTTGTAGGTATGTAAAGATATAAAGATAAATATAGATGAACAGGTATGCAAAAGCTAAAGCGTTGGTAAAAAATCTTTGATGTAATCTTAAAAACTATAAACACAACAGTACTAAGAGTAATAAAAATCTAATAAATGAAGAATAAACAACTAAAACAAATAGCAAATTAGTTGCTAATGGATTTGATTTGCGTCATTTTTAACAGTTTGCATACTGTAAGAAGTTGGCTCAAACAATAGTTTTTTTTAAACATTTTCTAAAAACAGGGTCCAAAAATCTGCCATGAGTTCCTGATATATAAACCAAAAACTGTAAATTTACTTAAGATCTCAATTTTTGACATATGCGTACCTAAACACTGTGGAAGTACGTTGCAGTGTAAAACAACGGGCAGAACATATATTTAAACGGGCATCCCTATATACTAAAGCTTGAACAAATTTTTTTACGCCATAATTTATAATTACAATTTTTTGACGTGATTTTATTTTTCATAACTCGGATTTATATATGCATTACCTCTTATTAATAAAATATCATAATTATCAATGTTTGTACATGTAGGTTGCAATGGTGATAAGCCCCAGCTTCATCCCAACGTCACTGAGTTGGAAATAAACGAAGGAGAAGCCTTGGAAATCAAATGCACAAGTAATGAATATGTGAAGTTCTATTATCCAGATCCTTATTATCTATTGGGTGTAAGTTGAACAGATTTAGTATACAGAATATTTTAATGCAATGTATTTTTTTCTTAAATAAAATGCCAGTATTTTATATATATTATTAATAGATAAAGTTGTCTAATCATGACATTTACCCAAAAAAAATTAGCAAGAATAAAACGTTTTTGATAAAGTTAACTCATATTAGAGACTCTGGTTGGTATGGTTGCGCTAATTTGAATAAGAAAATCGCACGCAAAATGAGTAAGGACGCAAATGACCCAAGTATGAGTTGGATGTATATTTATGTTAAATGTAAGAATTTCGATATTAACATATTTTTAACTGAATTTTACTAGCTCAATAAATTTAATTTACTAGCATAGCTACTTTAATTTATGTAAGATAATTAAGTGTATTTTATGTGTATTTTTACTTAGCTAAAGAAAGTACTTTCATCCAACCAAACAGTTTTAGACTACTTTTTCCTGTAGCATGTTTCCCTTACTTTGCGATTTTTCCGTGCCGAACGACTTCGCCTGAAATCAACGTGACTCTAACAACAAGTGATGCTGTAATATTAACTATTTCATAAAACTTTTGTGAAAAAAAATTAAATCCTAAATTAATGTTTTATTTTACATCAGGCCTTGCAGGAAATTGTAAATACGAATGCTTTCTTCGATCCTAAAATTGGTTTTGTCCTAAAGAATTTCAGTTTCTATAGTCCTGAAAAAGGATTTCCCCGTTTAACTTGTAAAGCTTATGATAGTGATATTACGACCAAGACGATGACATTTTCCAGAAGCTATTATAACGGTTGCATAAGTAAACCAACTGTAAAAATAGAAGGACGGCAGACAGTTTTTGTGGGCTCTCCATTGACTGTTACCTGTACAGTTAAAATCAAAGTAGAAAGTTCTAACATTATCTCCTGGAAAACTCCACAAAATTCGGTAAGAGAATTTTAACTTGTGTATGCACAATTGTTGCAGCCATTCAAACAGTAATTCAGAGTGTGTATATTGTACCATATTTAAATGCTTTTGGAAACAATTTAATAAGTATAAGGATTAGTCCTCCAAATTAATTTTAGACGAGATGCAAGTGGCAGAAAATGATAACGTCGATTCCGTAACATCCAAACTTATCATACGAAATGTGACTTATGCGGACGAGGGTAATTACACTTGCCAAGTAAGATCTTCGTATAAGGAACATCGTAGTACAAACATATTTATAAAAGTACACGGTAAGTTTTATGAATCACTAAATTTTAAAATTTTTTATAAATATAGAAGCAAAAACTTCAGTTTGTTAAACGTATCTCTTGTTACAGATCAAAATTCTAACATTTCCCTAACATCTAATAACAGAGACAAAGCTTACAGCATTGGCCATGTAGTGTTGCTTACAGTTAACATTGATGCTTATCCACCACCAACTATCTTGTGGTAATAGTTGCACTTTCATACAGTTATAATGTGTTCCAAAAATCAATTATTCTTAAAAACTTTAAGTATTAAAGATTGAATTTTTTAAGCTTACATCAAATGAAACCGAAATAAATTTTGAAAAAAATTTGCGTTTGCCTCAATTTAAACGAGAATATCTAAAGTATTCAGAGAGTAATTTGATGATATTTAATTTTCAGTTGAAAGATAAGGGAATTTATACTTTCCGAGTAAACAAAACCAATGAAATTAAGCTCTTGAATTTTTCAGTAAGAGTTTACCATAATTTTATTAAAATTCTTTCTGCCATACCCTTCAATGAAGAAACATTATGCTTACAAAGCCCGATCTTTATATAAATAACAAATTTTTTGCGTTTGCAGAAAAGCCTCGTGTTATATTTAATCAAGCAAAACTCGAGTCTCTTTACAGTTTTAACAAAACTGCAACGTTTGCTTGTCAAGCCACTGGCCATCCTGCACCTAATATATCATGGCTTTACAGAATTTGCCCAGATTATTATTTTTTACATGATTGTACAACAGTAGAAATGGAGGTTTGCTTTGTTTATATATATATACATATGTATGAGTGCATGAAAAAATTAAATAAAGAGAATTAATGTCAATTTAAAACAAATCTCACATTCCAAGGGTAAACAAAGTAGAAATGGGACGTATTCAGAGTTGAAAGTAAGCATGGAGTCGTTTGGAAATTATTTGCAAGGCTTGCCATGCCTACGATTGCGACTTGAAGAAATACAATATTGAAATTACCGGTTCGCAGAATTTTTCAACGTCCTGGAGTCTATTTTTATTTCAAAGAAAATTTTCCAGATTATTTTTTTACATCTCTTTTTCCAGATGGAGTTGACAATGCGCCTTACGGAATTATAGGTCCAGAAGAAGCATGCAATGGTGAAAATATTACTCTTATCTGTGCTGCTGTTGAACATGACACTCTATCTGTAGCTTGGATAAATGACCACTTCCAAAAGATAACTAATTCTGGTACGTTTCAAATGACTTTCCTCTTTACAAAATTGAGTTTCTGCAAAATATTCTGCTTCACCATAAAATTAATACTATTTTACTTGGATTTCAGCAAAAGTGCATGCTACTTCAAAGCAGACTAAATCTACTATACGTAAAGAACTTATAATCTATAACATAAGTCAATTTGATGAGAAAGACTATCACTGCAGAGTAAAGTCTTATACAAAGCCAAACAAAATTATAAGTTACCATGTCAATTTTAAATGTAATTAAATTTTAAATGTTACCTAAATACGTAACTTTACACATTTTACTTAAAAAAGTAATATCAGTAAAAATGATTAAAATTCAAATAATTATAAAAACAATTATTATCATTGTTTTTATTTTATATTAGCAAATGACATTTCTTAACATTTATATTATGATAACTTCCACTTAAATCATGTTTATCTTTGTAGTGTGAAAGAAGCCTTATTTTATAAGAGATAATATGAATTCTACCAGTGCAATCGTATTAACAGCAGATGCTCGAAATATTATTTATTTATTTTGTTTTGTTGGAGAATCGCCAAGACCGAACATTACATGGCACAAGGAAGATGCACTTTTGAATCTTCCGAAAGATCGATTGAGCCTTGTATTTAATGATTAAAAATTAATTATAAGATATCCAGTGGAAGATGATAGCGGTAATTATTCCTGTCGTGCTGAAAACCGATTCAGAAAAATAGAAAAATATCGAAAAGTCAATGTAACAGGTAAACAAATCAGTACATGTGTTTATTTGTAAATTTTTTGTATTAAATAAAACAATCCTTTCATAATAAATTATTTCTTCACGATGTATTGGATACAAGTTAATATCCAATTTCTTCTAAAAATTAAATCTAACATAAACCATTTTACATAAAAAATTTGAGACGG